CAAAAGTTGTCAAGTTTCATATGCTCGTCCCCATGAAGGGCTTCACCTCATCAACCAGTTCAACTTTTATTAAATTGTTAAGTTTCATTGGCTCGTCCTCATTCAGATCACCATGCACAAACAAACCAAGATCACACACTATATAAATATCCACGCCTCGACTTGGATGATTATGGTGTTACGTTATCTCTTCGCAATCAATGGGTTATTTTAAAAGCACAAGTTCAACAAACACAAAGTACCTTATGCCAATGCATCCCTTCTCTAATAAGAGATCACACAACATAGATAATACACATCGATCTAAAAATTTCATGCATTAAATGAATATTCATACATGGACTTGGGACTATTGTTATGCCTCATCCAACAATGCTCCAAGAATAAAAAATATGTGGCATCCATATAATAAGCAAACCGAGACCCGCATTCCACATCTCTTTACCTACCTAGCAATTACGTTGAACTCCCATGGAAATGTCGAACCCTCATGGAGAGGTCGAATCCGCATGATAAGACGAAACCTCATGAACGAGTGACGTGATATGAGGTGCTACAGCCCTAACAGAGGTGAATAGGCTCTAGGTGTATAAGGTACATCCCCCATAAGATCTTTCATACATGATCTTCTTAATTGATTGACGAGACCTTTCAATAGTAGCTACTCTATCAAGTCAACTTGTCAAATCTATTCCTCGCATGTCAAGTCTAGATCGTAGGGTGGCTAATCGTAAAAAATATTACATTTATTGATTCTATGATTGTTAGAATGATGCCTATGATAGGTGCCTCAACTGTTAAGGTGAGGCCATGTGTTTCTACACTCAACAATTGTCATTTCTCCCATTCTACTATATAAACTCACATTTAGTGTCATTTGAAGATAATGCAATTTTGTACTCTCAACTGCAACATTGCTCTCTCTCTCTCTCTCTCTCATTTTATCCTTGGTAAACTGGTTCTACCCGAATCTTTGGTATCCAAACACCTTTCTGGATCTCGTCTAAGAACGTTCCATACTCAAATACATTATTAAATGACTGACTTGATTGTCGGAGTGCATGCGGTTGCCTCCTCCACCTTCTAAGAATGCCACGTGTTTCTAATTGTTCTTCCAAGTGTGCAGGCAAGAAGTTGGGTAGATGTAAACGGAGTTGAGATTTGTTGTTCATGTAACTTGTGCAAAAATCGAGGCCAACAGAACGGATGCAATCAAAAGAAGAAAAGTTTGAAAACATTTGGAAAAATTGTTTTAGAGGTAAAGAGTAACGTCACATAATTTATGTCTAAAAAGTTTAGAATAGCGGCCCACTTAATTTTTTTTTTTAATTTTCTTTTAGTCTCCATGTCTTGTAATGTAAAATATAAACATTTAACTTTTCGAGACAAAAATTTAGAAAATAAACCATCAATTGATTATAAATTCAATTTCAACTAAGCATCACATTTTTAATTTAGATTTTCGTCATCATGTTGACAATGTAATGTCGAGGAGATTTTATAACTTTTTTTTAATAAAAAGTATAAATATTTTCTTTAAATTTGTAAAAGAATGTTATTGCAAAAAGATAATTCGATAAAATAATACTTGGAAACGAGTGATGCTTTTAACGGGTCACCTAAGCTGATTTTTTCACCACTGGTGTCTAATAATAAATAGAATTAGTTGACGAAAATTTATGATGTGACGAAATTTGTGACCTACTAGGTGCACCAATTCTTTTTGACAATCATGCTATTTGACAATTCACATTGACAACATTACAATCATTAATTTCAAAAACTGTTTTTAAAACTAATTGTCCAAATTTTGACAACACGAATGTTGTCAACCATAGTTGTCAAACATGATTGTACAAATATGTTAATTCTCTTTTTATAAACAATTCGTTCTTTTTGACTCTTTAACAAGTAATTACATAATTCAATTGTTCATGCAAATATGTAATTTGCAGGTAAATTCTCGTGATGGGTCATAGCCTACGCGATATGACTTACAAGATATGTGCTCCACCAGATAACATTTTGCTAAGTAAATTCTTTTTGTTCTTCTTTTAGAGTCCAGACAGTGAAAAAAAGAGTCAATTTTTTTTTCCATATTAAAGTATTTATACAATAGAGAGGTTTTGTGCATCACACCCGACCTTTCGAATATGTAGAAGATGAAGAGACGGTTAAATTAACTTTTATGCAAACTTCGGGGTTGATCATAGATCTCACATCTTGACACAGTAAAATGTATATTCCACCTACTGCTCTATTCAACTATATTCATCTCGTTTGAAAAATGAAGATGATAGAGAGAGTACTTTCATGATTTATTATCTCAACTTACGTTTCAGGAGTATATTTATGCTGCACTTGTTCAGGCTTGATTTTGTTGGAAAATCCAGTTGTACATGTGTATATAAAACTGAGAACTGGCCCATAATTCAGTGATCAACTCAGATTTTTGTCACGACCGTTTGGAAATTGTGTTAAGATTTGAGTTTCCATCTTAAAAGGTCAACCTTATTAAGAGGAGTAGTCCAAACCTTTATAAATTGGTCTATCTTTTTGCCTTTATTTGATGTGAGATTGTATCCATTAGCATGCTCCCACAAAATGGTGGTTCGTTTGAACAGACGAATCCTGAAATTCGTACGCTCATTTTTTGAGTCTTAATCGGATCGAATTGCTCTTTGGAACTTAATGAGTTGTGATACCATGTGAAGATTTGAGATTCCATCTTAAAATGTCAATTTTATTAAGAGGAGTAGTCTAAACCATTGAATCGAACTAAGTTTGAGATTAGATCGTTCTCGCTATTTTATTTGTAGGGAAAAGGGGAAATCCAACAATTGATACAAGAATACAAGTATAGAGTGTGAAACAGAGGTGGACGCAGACGGTTAAAGTTAGGAGGCATAATCTAACTTGTAAAAAAGTTGAGAGAATTTTTACAATTGAAAATACATCCAAAAAAATCATACACCATGTAATTTTGCATCCAAAATTTACATGGAATATGACTTTTTCGGATGTAAAATTTCGAAAATTTTTAATGTCATATCCCATAAATGTTTCATAATAAAATAATGCAAATTATATTGAGAAAAATTAGAAAATTTACATGGAATATGACTTTTTCGGATGTAAAATTTCTAAAATTTTTGATGTCATATACCATATAAAAATCCCAATAAAATAATGCAAATTATATTGAGAAATTTGTATCACAAAAATAATAAATGTTAATGAAATAATTAATTTTTTTTAAAAAAATGTGAGTTAAACGCCTCTTTTTAAGACGTTAGTTTGATGCATCTTTAACCATTTTCGATATATGTTTCAACTATTCGATATGTTTATAATGTAGTACTCGAAACGAGGTTTGAGATTATATAAGCGATTTGTAAATTCGACCACCGTACGATTATCGAAAATTTTTTAAAGTTAGCATATTATCGAAATTCTCGACATACTAATTTTAAACCGTCTATTTTGACAAGTCGTAACATTTGTTACGATTGATCGTTTTGCACACCGTTAAGGACATAAAAAAATAGACTGTGAGCACTTTGAAAATGGTATTAAGAATATAATATTTCGATTTTGTTTCACATCTTATAATGATTTCGAAAATTGAAACGAAACATATTAAAAAAAAAAAATTGGCNTTTGATGCACATGTTTGGTTGTTGGGGCAAATATGAAAAGTTTAGTACAAATTTGAAGATGAAATCCTACTACATATGGTTATTATTTAAAAAGCGATTAGACTTGTGCCTTTAATTAAGATTCAAAACTTAAACTCTCTGGTGCTATTTATTGAGTTTACACCCGGGAGCGGACACTGACAATTAAAGTTAGGGGACATAATCGAACATGCAAAAAAGTTGGGAGAAATTTTACAATAAAAAATTTACATAAAAAAAAATCATATCACATATAATTTTGCATCCGAAAATTTATATGGAATATGATTTTTTCGAATGTAAAATTTCGAAATTTTTTAATATCATATCCCATATAAATTTCCTAATAAAATAATACAAATTATATTGAGAAATTTGTATCACGAAAATAATAAATGTCAATGAAATAATTATTATTTTTTAAAAAAATGCAAGTTAGATGCTTCTTTTTAAAACGTATGTTTGACGCATCTTTAATTATTTTCGATATCTGTTTGAACTATTCGATATGCCTATAATGTAGTCCTCGAAAGGAGTTTTGAGATGATATAAGTGATTTGTAGATTCGACTATCGTACGATCGTCGGAGAATTTTTAAAGTTAGCATGTCATCGAAATTCTCGAAATACTAATTTTATACCGCCTACTTTAACAAGTCGTAACATTTGCTACGATCGATCATTTTGCACGCCGTTAACGACATAAAAAACTAGATTGTGAACACTTCTAAATGGTATTAAGAATATAATATTTCAATTTCTTTTCACATCTTATAATGATTTCGAAAATTGAAATAAAACATAAAAAAAAAAAAAAAGCAAAGTTTGTCAGGGGAGGGGGACACCGGGTACGCCAGTGGTGTGAAACATACTTGATTCCTAAATAACTACCATAAATCTGGCTTAAATGATGACGTAAAGTCAACTAGTGCATTAGGTGTTTTCTGGAGTGAAATAATCTATTTTTCTCCCTAACCCACAATTAAGATGTTCACACACTAAAATTTGGATACAACTTATAGGAAACAAAATGGTTTTAGGTCTTTCAAGATATTCTCAATTTTTCCCATTCGATTTAGTCGAACAATTCAATTTCTTTTACATATTTGAATATGGAACTTCCATGCAGGCCCTACAACATTTGCAAATCTATACATGTGTAACCGACCTTCAAACTTGTATATATATATATACACCTATCTATGTGTCCATAATATTATATAAGTTAACGGTCAGTTCACCAAATAATTTGCCTCCAAAATCAGAATTAGAAAAAATTTTTATTATCAATAAAATGGAAGGGACTTCTCGAGGTAAGGGCGCCATGCAAGAAACGGAAGAGAAGGGGAAGGAGGAAGTTCGATACCGTGGTGTTCGGAGACGGCCTTGGGGGAGGTATGCGGCCGAGATACGCGATTCCACTAGGCAAGGAGCACGCTTGTGGCTCGGAACATTTGATACGGCGGAAGATGCGGCAAGGGCCTATGACCGGGCTGCATTTAGATTAAGGGGTCATCTTGCAATCTTGAATTTCCCTAATGAGTACTTCCCTCAACTCCCAAACGCCCCTCCTCTTCAAAATCCCTCAATTTCGTCGTCATCACCCTCATCGACTTCGACTTCGGGTCCTTCCACGGGAGGACAAGAGAAAATTGAACTGGAGTATCTGGATGATAGTGTGTTGGAGGAGCTCCTTGAATCATCAGAAGAGCAGCAGAAGAAATAATCTTTAATCTTTCTTAACTGTTTTTTCTTGAATTGTGCTTCTGTACTTTTTCCTTCAATGATTATTCGGGACAATCTCTGAAATGCAGAGCTGATCACCAGCTGATGTTAAAGGGAAATACCCCTAATCAAATTCAAATGCCTTTAGAGGGAAACTAATAAATAAAGCTGTACACGTTGAATTACCATGTAGAGTTATCAACCAAAAGTTTAAGATGATCTAGGGACGAAAACTATATGGACTCGTATTAATGTATCTTTTATGCAGAATTGTTCTCCTATTCACGGTGAGTAGGATATGTCTTGTCCATTGCTGACATGCACGTCAATGCCACGTCAACTGTGAACAATAGATCTCCTATCCACCGTGGGTCGGAGATCAGGTCTGATCTTTTATGTGCCTCATTGAGTGTGCAAGGTTAATCAATTTCTTCATCAAACGCTTCATACTAGAAATTTGATAAATAGGTTATGGTTGGGGTTTTAACATGTTACTTTAGTTAGTTTGTTGTCTATCATCACTACATGAAAGTATTAAGTGGTTTAAATACGATAATTGTTTTTTCTACTTTATCTTCAACACAAATTTTATGCACTATAAAGACACGACATTATTCTTAAGATGTTTCATTTCTTTTATCGGCCGGTTCCAATATCTTTTTAAGGTTCTTTTATCAATTAATTTATGACCTTATTCTTAATATTTTTCTTTTCATCAAACAAATTTATTCTCAATGTTTTATGTTGACTATTTCTCAAATTTTCTTTTACAATCGATTATTAACTTCGTATTATAGAAAAAAAAATCTCTTCCATGATTGTTCCCAAAGTTCTTTCATAATTATTGATTGTTTCGAATGGAAAAACATTTATACGATTTGAATCCCCACATTAACTCTTTCCATATGTCAAATTACATATATTCTCTTCAAATTGGACAATTTGGTTTCCATACGATTTAATTTCGAAACTTAATTTGGTTTCAAAGCCTTGTGTTTGAAAAAGATATGAATTTTTTTTTTTTTTTAACAATTCTCTGTAACATTTCTCCTGGTTCTTGAATATTATTCCCATAGCCGTGGCTTTGTGTGATGATTGATACACAATTTTTTTAGTATTTATCTATTTCGATGTTTCATTGATCTCAAATTCATGTCCACTCTACGAAGTGAAAGCTATATCAGAGGACAGTGACGAAAATAATTGACCCTTAATCGGGGGAAAAAACGAGTTAGATCACTCAGAATTTTATATCTTTCGACTGTAACTGAGTCTTGTATTTAGAGTTATCGGAGACACCTTCTCTATGTTTTAATTGTCTCAAATATTTCTCCGTAATGTAAGTTTCTTTTAAGGAAGTTTCATACAACTCGTTGTTGCATTCTACAACCCTAATTGCAACCACCGTAGCTTCACTTTCAGTTGATCGGTGCAAGACCACGATATGATGGTAACATAATCGACCTTCTAAGAAAGAACAATACTCCAAATTTTGTTAGACAAGTTATTTTTAATCGTTTTCTGTCGATTTTTGTAGCAGAAAATATTGAAAAGAGACTTAGCCCAGTTAATTTTCTCTATGAAATATTGCATTCACAAGTTCATGATAGATCAAGGTAGCAATCCAATTAGCAAACTGCACTGGATAAGATAGGACAGCGTAGCTTATTTCTCGTCTTGCATGTAAAATCGAGATGAACTAGAAAAAGAAAATGAAGAAGTAGAAGTAGAAGTAGAAGATAAACTTAACTTCAATCTTACTTCTTCTCTTTTTTATCACAATCAAGAAGTTCTTCCAGTAAGTTATCGTCCAAGTATTCGAATTCGAATACTTGTCTCTCCTGCACTGAAGATGAAGTCGAAGACGAAGCAGAAGCAAAATGTGATGAACTACTAGGCAAATTGTACTCTTCAGGGAAGTTAAGTATAGCCAAATGACCTCTGATGGCATAAGCCGCCTTGTCGTGGGCTCTAGCCGCCTCCTCCACTGTGTTAAACGTCCCAAGCCAAACCCGAGCCCCCTGCCGGGACGAATCACGTATTTCTGCGGCGTATTTTCCCCATGGCCGCTTCCGAACACCTCTGTACTTAATCTCCCCAGCATCTTTTTCAGTGCTTTTTCCTCTGTTACCGGGCTCCTCGTCCATCTTGAAATTTTCAAGAATGTTGGCTAACTGTGTAGGTGAGATGACAATTTATTGTCTTAAAAAGTTCAAAAGGGTACCTGGTTTACGAAAATAAACGAGGGGTCCAAATTTTGTTAAGTGGATAGTCGAGTGGAGGAAAATTGTTCACATGTAGACCAAAATTTATATGCAGTGCATCTGGCTAGTCAAGGTGGTGGCTTTGAGAAAATTCTTTGTCACTTTTGCATGTTTGATTCTCACTTTTTAATTGTAGCACTTCATTGAAACATTTTGCCACGTGCAAATTTAATATTTTAAGAAAAATTGGTTTTAAAAGTATTGAAATAAAAATTAATTCCTGAATTCAAATTTTGTCACTATTGTGTCATTTTTTATTTTTATTTTTTGCAAAATTGATTTATATCTTGTTCTAATTGTCGATGAAGTCATTTGGATTAATTGAAATGTACGTCCTATGATTTAGGCATGAAATTTGTGTATATGTCAAGATTTTAATAAAAATATGATTTCGACTCTATTATGTAGAGATGGGGTTAATTACCCCAAATCCCCAATAATCATTGAACTTTACCGAAAGTTTCCACCAGGTTACTGAACTTTAAAAACTACGTGGTTAGTCAATGAACTTTGAAACTGCAACCCAATCCATCACTGAATTTTAAAAATCATCACATTCATTACTGAACTTTGCAAAAAGTTTCAGGTCACTGAATCAGTGATCATCTGAGAAACTTTTTGCAAAATTCAGTGACCCGTAGAAATCTTTTGCAAAGTTTAGTGACTAGTGGGGTGATTTTTAAAGTTCAGTGATGGATGGAGTTGCAGTTTCGAAAGTTCAGTGACTAACCACATAATTTTTAAAGTTCAGTGACCTAGTGGAAACTTTCAATAAAGTTCAGTGATTATTGGGGTAATTAACCTCAAGAGGTGTTGAGAAAAGTTGGTATACATTAATTACTATGATATAAAAAGCGAAAAAAGTTGATTCGCGAATCAAAAACACAAGTTGGAGATTGATTTGTAGCTTGGTCTAATTATTCTAATGAAGTCACATCACTCGCGTTTTATCATCACAGTAAAAAATATTATAAAAAATATCTACAAGAATAATGTAGCACTCGAAACTTTGGTGGTAAAATATTATCTAAAATATTTTTATGCATTATTTATGAGAAAGGTTTAATTATTTGAATTGTAGAGACCATTCAAATGGCACTTTCATAGTTTCATATGTCCTGTTTGTGAATTTGATTCGTTCTTACGTAAGCCCTGCAAGAAGTGACGTCAGCATATGACTGCAGTGGTAGGTCATCACTGTGTTAATGGCTTTGTTTATCTTTTCTAAGAGAATTATTTCATTCCTTTGCCCCATTTATTGATGATTTATTCCAAATCTGCACCTTAAAAAGGCTTATATGCCCAAGAAAAAGTAAAGTAGAGGTTTGTGGCTGTCTTTAATTCTCAAATTAGTGATTGATAATCACAATTAATAAAATAATAAGTGAAAATGTGAAAGTAGTTAGGTGGTATAACGAACACATATCTAGTAATTAGAGTAAACTCAAAATAAGTAGGTCATATCGCGGAGTAAAATTTTATTAGCTAGCATCTTTTCAAAACTAGCTAATACTCGCCTAAACCAATATATTATTGCTTGTTTGGATTTGTTTATAAGTAATTGAAATTATAATGTGACGGAAATGATGTCGATCTTTTGAAACTTATGATTAGATTGAACTTTGAATTTTGGCATTCAAATTATAATGTGATTATAAGTAAATCCAAACAAGCAATTAGTTTACATAATGTGTGATACATACTAATTTTTATAAGTGAACTTATTTTATTATACATTTGTCCTGTTTGGTGTAGCTAAAAATATAATTTTGATAAAAATGATAAAATGTGTAGTTGAAAAGTTAATAAAAGTTCAGGTCTCAAAAACTGTATTGTTAAAATTAATTGTTAACTTAAACTTTAAATTTTTGTTCTTTTTAAGACACACCAGACACTATGAATCTTTTTATTTTATTAATAGTTTAGTGGTTATATTTTGAGATTTTATTAAACAAAAAGTTAATTAGGACTTCGGAGTTTTCTTTAAAAATTAAGACTATGTTTTTTTTTTTTTTTCAATGCCATAAAATGGAATAAAATGAAGGCCCTATAGATTCATTAAATTGTGAAGTCGATGGTAAAAATGATTAATTGTAACATAAATTTGCAATCAAAATCATAGCACAGGCGAAGCTCGGATATTAACCATCCATAATGCTAAAGGACCTCATCTTGATTGATTGAGAAAGTCAAATCTCATTATATTTTATATAAATGAGATGGTGACAAAACATGCAAGTAATTAATACATAGACTCTGCTACCTAATTTCCATAACCCTAACTTTTTTTTTGCCCCCTCTTGGCTATGTTACTGCCAAACTAACCAGTTGGAATGGAAAAGGAAATCGAAAAGAGGCAATTTAATGATTTTGAACACAATGATGGTATCGACGGACAAATCATCAAGCCTCCGGTGGAGGCTGACTGCCTCTTGGAGGTTTAGGCCATGGCCTTGGTGGAAATGGCTTAGGAGGATAGGGCTTCGGCGGAAAAGGTCTCGGAGGAAAGGGCTTCGGCGGAAAAGGTATCGGAGGAAAAGGCTTCGGGGGAAAGGGTCTTGGAGGAAAAGGCCTTGGGGGAAAGGGTGGTCTGGGGGGAAATGGTGGACGCGGAGGAAAAGGAAAAGGGGGCAATGGTTGAGCATATCCACACATTCCAAAGAAGCAAAGGCTAGGGAATCGACATTTATGCTCACAACCCCCACAATGGAATGGATTGATATTTATATCTATGCATAGGCCTCGACAGCATTGCCAATTGAATGGACACCTAATCCCACACATCCCACAGTTGTTAACATCAGATGTTACGTCCACGCATCGATTTCTACAACAAATCCTTTTGATTCTAATCGGAGACTCTCCCTCGTTGCAAATCCATGGCCGCTTCCAACACCCAATTGCTCGTTGATTCTTTACTAATCTGAGCCATGGCGAATAAGTTGAATTACTTGTGACATTTTGTTCGAGCCCAAGTATAGGAGTTCCTTTCGCTATCCCGAAATGTAACAACAATGAGAGAAGTTGGATTGAAATCAAGAATGTGTTGATTACAACACTAACAAGTTGCATGATTTTTGATAAATTTGGCAGTAGTATTTGAGTTGATTAAGTTTAAATAAGTGATGTAAATGTCTTTATTTTCTTGTATTCCGGGGAAATTCATGTTTTTCTTACAAGGGGTGAGTGGGTTGTGGTAGGTTTGGTGACGCATGTAATTACTATTTACGTGATACAGTAGAAATTTCATTGCAATTTTGAGATTGAGAGATATGCATGATTTTTTGCTTTTTTCACACCTTTGTTCCTTCACATATACTCTGCTTTTTTCACCTTTTATATCTCTTTCGGAAAACGAACGGATTCATTTTTTTATTAAATCATTCTAGGTAGTACCAAGCATTTTAGGGAAGTGTTTATAAATAGTTTAAATTATAAATAGACCATAAAAAAATGAACAAATGAATAGTACTTATATATCTATCAAAATGTGTGAATGAAAATTGACTTCAATATTTGTAAACGGTTTATAAACATAAGCGAAATATAGGCAAATAGAAAACATGAAAAATTGAAAGAAGTCCACCTAGGCAGGTATAAGCAGGTTGTCGTCGGTTCGGTTTGAGGTTCAAGCATTTTACGGGCGATTTACTTGGGTTGAATTCGTTTGTTTTGACACCTTTATATAAACTAGAAAGTATATTCGGGAGTTATTTATATTAATTTAAATTATAAATAGATAAAAAATGATTGACGAATTAGTGAATAGTACTTGTAAGTGTCACAAAATGCGTGGATAAAAAATAATTTAATAGATTATAAACAATTTATAAACATTAACAGAAACATGGATAGATATTGAACTCCACCCACAAATACATTAAACCCATGTTTGACTTCTATTTTCTAAAACTATGTTTTCCCAAATTTATTTTTAGTTGTACATTCTCTTAATAAAATAATTTTATAAATGGACTCATAATTTTTTCTCATTTTTAACCATACACTCTCCAATAAAATCACTTTTAAAAAATTTATTATAAAAAATTCTATAATAAATAGGGAATAAATATATATCCACAATCTCTGTTGGATAAATTAGTGCATAAATTATATTTCGTTAACAAAAACACATGTATGCAAATATGAATAGAGTAACGATTTATCTAAATCATGGTACATGCACAATAATAAGCAAATCACGACTTACTCAAACATAGAAAATGCAGAAATTCAAAGAAGATAAAATATAATGAGGTATGCGAATGAAATTCCCTTTAAAATAGATTTCGCTCTTATACTGGTGAAGATCAAATGGACATTCATTTCTCAAGATACAACACTTCTTTCAAAATTAGCCCATGTTTGGTCTACATTAATATTTTCATTCTCATTCTTCTACCCATTTTCAACCACACATTTTTCAATAATATAATATTTTCCATCACATCAATAACTTTTCCTTCTTTTTCAACCACATATTTCACATCCATCACATCAACAAAATGCATTATTTTACACAAAATGTGCACCAAACAATGGCTAATATGGCACAATATTAATTTTATCGGCCAAAGCAACGCTTGACTGTATTTTTGTAGAACATAAGATATCAAAACTAAATATTGAACACAAAACTCAAAAATAATTCAGACATAATTTGAGAAGGAAAGAATTAGAAATCAATTATTTTGAATTGATTCACGGTGAAGAAAGTGAAATTAGGAGGATCATATTTATAAATTTTCACGTGTCTCTTTGAATTGTTGCATCTTTTGGTAAAATTAAGCCATGTTTGTTATGGATCAAAATCTATATTTTAATTCAAGTCAAAATCAACTATTCATTTCAATCGCACATTTTACGAGTCACGCAACTTTTCAATCACACATTCCATCAACTTCTATCAAATTTACTAAAAATATGATTTTAATCCCTATCGAACAGGGGCTAATTTTAACCATTAGATCGTACAATTTTATATTTAATGGTGTAGATTGCATCATATCAAAAGATCACGACATTTCATCATGCACATTTTTTAATAATTAACATCCATTCCGAAACAACATTACTTTTTGTAATTGAAGAGTCACGATTAGGGGTGGGCATGGTCCGATTCGATTCGGATCCAAAATTTTTGAATATTTAGTAAATAGAATTGTCAGATTTAAATTTAATTATGGAACCGTTAGTGTTCGGGTTCGGGTGGATTTCCAGGATTCCGTACAATAATTAAATTTTTTTATATTACAATAACGCTACATCAATTCGACTATGACATATTGAATCTTAACTCGTACAAAATAATGTATTCCAATCTCGTAATATCTTTTACACCTTTTTTTTGTTGAGTTTTTCATAAATTTGACTGTTAAAATCACAGATGACTAGTTCACAATAACATAACGGTAGAAATGACATTACGGTAGAATAAGAAACTTGGGTAAAACTTCGGCTTGGCTGAAAATTAGAAATAGTAAAATCATATTTTGGGTTTAAACAAAATTAACTAGTTAGCAATTTATTTAAAAAAATAAAATAATTTGACTTATTTAAGATAAAAAATTAGGGAGATTAGATTCTTATTCGGTTCTTGGTCTAGAATTGAGAACCGAACCGAACTTGTTAATTCTCGATTCAAATATTCGTTCGAGTATTTAACTTAAGAAGAACCGCTCGATTCGGTTCGGGAGTTTTGTACAGCCCTAGTCTCGATTAGTTATCGTACCAATTGAAAAAAATTTCAATTCACACCTGTAAAAGTATCCCGTTATTTCAACAAGCTCTTTTGCTTTTCAAGGACATTAAAGATAATTGATATCGTCTATTCGTGAAAATTACCGTAACTATTTAAGAACTGAGGTTATAAACTCAACTCCTCTTAATGGTCATCGGTGGCATAAGCCACAAGATGAATTAACAAGAAATTCAAGAATTACCTGTACCATACAATTGAATTTCCAAAAATACTAACCACTTATAGGATTTTTTTTTCTCTTTAAGTACTTGTATTTCTATTACACCAAGGTCACACCTCATATTTCAGACTCGAGTTGAACTTAAAAAGTTAAGACCCTCAAAATCGTAGCGTGCTTTCAAATTTAATTTTTTCTTCATAAGAATTTTCAGGAAATCGAAAAAATAAATGAAGTCTTAGGTGTGTTGGGGAACTTAAGAAGTTAGACCCTCTTATGTTTATTTGCTTTCAAGATTGTGTCTCCTTTAAAGGAATATATGAATTAATTTTATAGTCCCCAAATTAGGTCAAAATTCGAGTCCAAGGTGATTTAAATCAGAAGTTGACTCAAAGGTAGGAAAGCCAAATCCGGGAATCTCGACATGTCCCTGCGATCGCATAGTTGAAGCAATTGCGATTGCATGCAAGGAGGGGTTGATGTTGCTAATTACAATTATTGCTTACTTAAAATTGCACCACGCTAGTGATCGCAAGGTGTACTCTTATTCTCCATGTGCAAGTTGGTCATTCATTCCATTTTTGTTGTTTATCTTGATCCTTCAACTTTCAAACTAGATAGTTTGGTCACTGAATTCTAGAATTTGTTCTCTTTCTGTCCTAATCGCTCGATTCTTGTTCCTCTTTATTCCCCAAAAATCAATATCGTATTTTCTGCTTAAACAATTATGGATTTATCTATTTGTACAAATTTTTGTGCCCATCTCGTTGACAGAATCAGTGTTGACAAAAAAATGATTGATTGCAAAACTGTATTTTTTAAACAATCCAATGGTCTAATGGCACGTGGCATTCTGTAAAGTAGGGTATCATTTTTTTTCGTGTACAAAGCACGACTCAACAATTATTGACACAATTAAATATCAAAGCTCGTACCACCAAATATCAACTTTTGATAGTTCAAATAAGTGTAAAATCACACTTATCATAAATCTTATGAAACTATCGTATTGAAATTGTCTATGTCTATAGGCTCTTCACAATTACAATTCAAAGAAAATTGTAGCCAATTCATTCAACTTGTGATGTTTCAAGCAAATCAAATGGACTTCAACTTGTCAAACTAAAGCTTGATTCGAGAGGATCCAATATTAGAATATATGGAGGAGAACCATATTTCCACTCTCCCAACTAATTCCTTGAGAATTCCATCCCATTCGAGGACAGTTGTCATCCCTTGATTGGGTTGAAGAAAGTCAAGAAAGCACGCCCTTGAAGATCAAATCATCAAAATCAAACATCCATTGTCCAATGAAAAAGGAGACTTTTATACTCGGCGACCGTTCCCCATTTAATCGCCTCTTACAATTCTCCACGTGTTCCATGTTCACTGGCTTATTCTCAACCTGCGAATCATAACTTGTGACTCCTCCTTTTCCTTGATATTATTTCTCAGCAGAAAAAAAACCCTCCTTTTCTCCAAATAAATTGAAAACAAATAACCCCCTTTTTATTTTTCAGTAAAATCCAATTTGATTTTCAGAATGAATGATAATAATAATATAGATTCATTCGATGAGAGTTGCTGGCGTGACTTTGATTACAGGAGTCTCTTGAACGAAGTCCCAACCATTGATCTTCACTGGAATCCTGAATTGCAGCCCCAATGGTGATGATTTCTTTTCAAAATTTAACCTTTTTGTTTTATTTTAGTATGTAATTGTTTTCTTGGACCTTACCATTGACAAGCTAGTAGGTTTTATTTTATTAATATGATTTTTTCTCTAAAATGTAGTATTTAAAACTTGTGGATTTGTTTGGAATTGAAAAGTTTTGAATCAAGAAGATGAAAAGGAGATTTTTTAATGAATGAGGAGGAAATTTAGAAATGTACTGGTACATGCACTTTTAAGTTGTAAAAAAGTTTTGGTTTTCGAAATGTATCCTACTGATGGAGGTAATTAATCATTCTGTATGGTTTACAGGAATACGAATGTAGAATATTATAAAATTCAAGTATATTGTTCTGATACACTTGATTATTCTGTAGTGGCACAAGTGTGGGAATCGATGTCTCGGGTTGTGGAGGGGCATCACAGGTAGGCGAAGATGCTATGAAAGAATGTCCAAGAAAGAGGTAGCGTTTTTTCAATCTTTTGTCTTTTTGGTCTTTTTCCTTGTGGAAGAATCTCATTGATTTCTATATGTAGTTGTTGAGAAGGTTAACCTCAATCTTTATTGTTATTTCCTTCAAAATGAGTCATTGTAGTAAATAGATTTTGGCATAATGTATGGTCTGAGGAAGGGTGCTCATGGAATTATTTCCTTTAGAATTTCTACTGACTAACTATTGGGGGAGCTTCTATAATAGTTGTTTCAAAGGAGCATTTCTGGAGGTGGTCTAGAGTCAATTTTGTTAAAAACTTATGATATTGAGAAGTTGAAGAAATGCTGAACCCATTGTACTGGTTCTACGTGGCCGTTACGGGCAATGCTGAAGAGATGGTCCTGCACTGGATTTAGGCTATTCTTCATCTCATTTCTTATTACTTATCCCCTAAAAATGAAGAGTATGACGGCTTCCCTTGGAGGCAAATGAGGAAAGTAAAATAGACATTTGCTTTTTTTTTTTTTTTTTCTTTTTGGTGCCCCTGAAACAATTACAATATTTGTTTAATTTGCTCTATGCTTTGTGATGAAATTTGCTTTTTTTTTTTTTTTTTCTATTTGGGACCCCTGAAACAATCACAAGATTTGTTTAATTTGCTCTATGCTTTGTGAAAAAGGATGAGATGATCACACACCACCTGTTACTTAATAGGGAAGATGCTATTATTAGTACACTTTGGTCCTTTTTGCTGAAAAATTTGTGGTCCAACATGGACCGTGCCTTGTAGAGTGAAAGACACATTGCGAAGCTCTAGTTTGTAGGTGCAGTAGAAGGGATGGCATCCTCAGTTCTGAACCTCTTTGTTTTTGATAGTTTTAAAAAGAAAAAGCACGGATTAATTTCTGAAAGCTGTTGAATAAATAAATGATACTAATTTTAGAAAATATGGGACTCTGAATCAGTTGAAAAATAGAGTTGATGCGAAAATAAATGAGTTCTGACCAAGTCTTGTGTTCAAAACTTTGATGTCTACATGCCTAATTATGTTTGAAGGCACAGTTATTCTCATAAATAGTAAAATACATATATGAATAGGTTACACACACACTCACACTATAGCTTAGGGCACATTTTAAATTCCATATTCAGATATTCTTTCCTGTTGTAACCAGTAAAAGAGGATGGAATATGGACAGTCATTCACACATGGAATCAAGACATCAAGTGTGTTTGAATATTAGGCTTGTCAAGCTTTTAAATATGAAATTGGTTTATCCACATTTAAATATCAGCTTGTTGTATTTGCATTTATTAGTTCTCTTCATTTATTTTTTATATTCACATGTTAATTATAGAGGACATAACTTGATGAATTGTTTCAAGTTCACGAAGGATAATTTTGAAATGTTACGAGCAATATTTGCTTATGTCATGCTTTGTTTGTTGTTGTACTCTGTAGGGGGCGGAATGATGCATTCAGTGCAGTGGGAAGTAAAGCCTGCCGTGAGAAAATGAGGAGAGAAAAATTGAATGACAGGTGCTCATATTGTTGACTTGATATGTTTTGTTTATGTTTCTTCCTTTCCTTAGTCTTATTGCAAATGACTCCTTCAAAATACATCATTTTCAATCCACACCAGTATGAAATGTATATTACCTTTCTTATTGCCTTTATCTAAGCAGCACGGATTCCACACCAGTAATGAAATGTATTTTTTTTATATTTTTAAATTTCTGATATGTACCGAATACGTATTTTTTAATTATTTTCGATATGTATTGCATATGTTAAGACACGTGAAGAAGAGTTCTATTGATTTTAAACTTTCTTAAAACTCATTATTATTAGCTATAGAAAAAAATATAACTTAATAGATTACTATTATTATTATCAATAACTTATTTGAAATAGATAATATTTATTGAAAATACACAACTAGATTTTTATTTAATTGACGTCTAGAGTTTTTTTTTATAGGAAATACACAATAATATTAGATATTTTAATACATGGAAAGTCATGTTAATAGTTGACAAATATATTTTTATTATTGAAAATATATAATTGTATTAAATCCACATTCAAAAGAAGAATTCAAAAACGTGGGATATTTTCGGAGACTAATTTGATACTCATGAGTGTGTTGGGCTACTTAATGTTGCTAATCTATCATTAGATGAATCAGAGTTGGAGGGTGTTATTTTTAATGATAATGAAGAAGCTAATGTTGATGATGTTGAATAAAATTAAATTGTTATAATTAAGGATTAATAAAATGCTTTAGTATTATATTTTATTTTTATTATCACGCTTCTATTTTAATTTTTTTATAATAATGAAATTATTATATATACACATATCTTCCTATCCTAATTTAGTTGTATCGACATATCTGTATTGTATCGTATCGTTTTCAAAATTTTACGTATCTGAATCTGTGCTTCTTAGGTCTTTATACGCAATGCTTACTGAATGATTGAAAAGAAAATGGAATAATTTACAACTCTATATATTTGGAGTGTAATTGGCATAAAAGCGAAGTAGCGTGAATTAGTTTATTGTTTCTCTAAGGGAGAATCATATCTGTTCTTGCAGGTTCTCAGAATTGTGCTCTTTGTTGGAACCTGATAGACCTGTGAAAACTGACAAATTGGCTATACTTGGTGATGCCATCAGAGTTCTAAATGAGCTGAAGTCTGAATCTCAGGAATACGAAGAGATGAACGAAAAGCTTTTGGAAGAGATCAAAACGTTGAAGGTTAGACCAGATGCTTATGCAGCATTCATGGAAATCAATATTTCTCTTTTAATTTTGTTATGCTGGAAACTTAGGGCATAATATACCCCAACAGCATTGTCAATAGATCTAGTTGTTTTATGGTTTGTGAAGATCATTCTATTTTTGCTTTAGATATCTTTTTAGTGATATCTGATTCCCGCTGTACAGTGATTTGCTTCCATAGAGAATTTGCTAGGAAGTTGAATTTATCAATTCCCATTTTACACAAGTGGAGTGGCATTCATTTGAGTTTTATTTAGTTTTTTTAAAAAAATACTTATAAAGTTTCTTTATTGCTCAACTGTGAATGCATTTTTCCATGTTATACCGATAGTAATTGGTCGCATTTGAAGCATATATTGAGTTTTTATTCATAGCCAAGAAGAACAGTTAAACTTTTGTTTTGTTTGCTTAAACCTTAGAAGTTCTCTTTTATGTTGACAACTTTTTCACATGATGATTCCTTTCAAAATGGCATAAGATTTTTTTTTTATGAATGTTAATAATGAAAGAACCTTCCCTTCATCACCATAGAAAAATATGTAGTAGAAAGAAATGCTCCTTCAGGAAAATAGAATATTATATTTTGCATATTTTTGGTAAAACCCTTTTCATGTTTTTGATCTTCAAACAGTAACCTCCCTTGCTCCCATTCTTTCTCCCTTAGCTCTACGATAACATATTTAATACTACTGAATCAACATTTGACTATACATTGTGCATAGATCCTTTCTACACCTTCAATCTCATATATTTTTCTATTTTAAACAGGTAGAGAAGAATGAACTTCGTGAAGAGAAACTTGTTCTTAAGTCGGATAAAGAAAGGATTGAGCAGCAGTTGAAAGCTACGACTGTTTCGCCTTCTGGGTTTGTGCCAGCTCATCCACCAGTATATCAGGCTGGAGCGAACAAGATAGCAATGTTTCCTGGCTACAATTTTGTTCCAATGTGGCAGTATCATCCTCCATCTACCGATGATACATCTCAAGATCATAAGAACATTGGTCGTGCTGCTTGATATACATGCAAGGAAACTTGCAGCTTTTGAAGAAATTTCACTGCGCAATTTAAGAAGTGTTTTGTAAATATTAGTCAGTTCACAATTCTTTGTCCTATGACATTTTTCTGTCTTGTCTCCCATTTTTAATTTTTGAATGAAGCATTGCTTGATGTCGAGCAATCAAATTTAAGAAGGAAATGGATTTACAACAGTAACAACTTTTGTTCTCTCTTTTGTTCAAAAATAATTTTTTCTGATATATTCTTTTCCTTGGGAACTTCTCTAGTGGAATTGCTGGTGTTGTCGAGTTTCAGGATTAAAAAATGTAGAGAGAGAAGGGAGAGGTGGGGTTGGAGGGTTTCAAAGGCTAACTGAGCAATGCCTGAGAAGTGTAAATTAGGAGGCATCAACGCAGTTTCAATTATCTATGCACGGAAAAGAATGGTCCTGTAGAATTAATGTCAAGATCTAGTTGCTGGAGTTAGTAGTTGCAGTAGCAGTAAGAAAGAGGGCATTTGCAAGAGTTAAGAAAATTCATGCGGGACGACCTGAGTTTCTCGTTGTTGTGAACTCAACTATTGACTTGAAAGACTACATGTTTAGTTAGGATGATATGGATCAAGTACACAAAAGTTTGTCTGTTTTTAGTTTCATCATCATCAAACCGTTGCAAGGTTCACTGCAAGTGGATTTAGATTAGAATTTGAACAGATGATCTCAGGAATCTGTTTGAATGTGTCATTGATAAAAAATTTGAGCAATTACTTCCAAAACAAAATAGTGTCCGGGACAGGATAATACAGCTTTAGTTTGCTGCGAAATGAACATAACCAGGATATATTAGCAATCCATTTTTTTGAACTGAAGGGGGCTTCTTGCAAATTGTTTGCTCTGTTGAGATGCAAGAAAATTTGGTAGTTGACTTTGGATGCTATAAATCATATTACCTTGTCTCTGTCACCCTTGATTCTTCAGTTTCATCATTCTTTATTTTCTCGTCTTCTGGTTTCTGCATATACTTTTTCTTTTTGTTCACTTTTTTTGCCCCAGTTGGAGTTGGCTCGTGAACTTCTCAAGTTTTTCTTTTAAATACTTTGCATCTGATGGGAATATACATATCTTTGGGTCTTTGTGCTCCTTCAGCTTTTTTTGCGCTTCATCATCTTCTTTTCCTCACAACGGCAAGTACAATCCAAAAATAAAACTCCACCTAGTATACTGGAAATGTCGCAGGTAGGCAATTAAAACATGAAATGAAATTCTAACTGATTTTTTAATTTTGCCTATGACTATCATATAGAGCTGTCGCCAAATTCGTCTTTACAGAGCTTAGCTTTTTGTATTTGACTGAGCCTACCTCCTCGCAAATAATGAAAAAAGAGGAAGAAGACAGAAATAATCTACCTCCACACTTACATACTTTCACTTAGGCCCCGTTTGATTGGATTAGGAAGTGCTATGTAAATATTAGTCAGTTCACAATTCTTTGTCCTATGACATTTTTCATTCTTTTCTCCCATTTTTAATTTTTGAATGAAGCATTGCTTGATGTCAAGCAATTAAATTTAAGAAGGAAATGGATTTACAACGGTAACAACTTTTGTTCTCTCTTTTATTCAAAAATAATTTTTTTCTGATATATTCTTTTCCTTGGGAACTTCTCTAGTGGAATTGCTGGTGTTGTCGGGTTTCAGGATTAAAAAATGTAGAGAGAGAAGGGAGAGGTGGGGTTGGAGGATTTCAAAGGCTAACTGAGCAACTTTTGTTCTCTCTTTTGTTCAAAAATAATTTTTTTCTGATATATTCTTTTCCTTGGGAACTTCTCTAGTGGAATTGTTGGTGTTGTCGGGTTTCAGGATTAAAAAATGTAGAGAGAGAAGGGAGAGGTGGGGTTGGAGGGTTTCAAAGGCTAACTGAACAATGCCTGAGAAGTGTAAATTAGGAGGAATCAAGGCAGTTTCCATTATCTATGCACGGAAAAGAATGGTCCTGTAGAATTAATGACAAGATCTAGTTGCTGGAGTTAGTAGTTGCAGTAGCAGTAAGAAAGAGGGCATTTGCAAGAGTTAACCAAATTCATGCGGGATGACCTGAGTTTCTCTTTGTTGTGAACTCAACTATTGACTTGAAAGACTACATGTTTAGTTAGGATGATATGGATCAAGTACACAAAAGTTTGTCTGTGTTTAGTTTCATCATCATCAAACCGTTGCAAGGTTCACTGCAGGTGGATTTAGATTAGAATTTGAACAGATGATCTCAGGAATATGTTTGAATGTGTCATTGAAAAAAAAAATTGAGCAATTACTTCCAAAACAAAATAGTGTCTGGGACAGGATAATACAGCTTTAGTTTGCTGCGAAATGAACATAACCAGCATATATTAGCAATCCAATTTTTTGAACTGAAGGGGGCTTCTTGCAAATTGTTTGCTCTGTTGAGATGCAAGAAAATTTGGTAGTTGACTTTGGATGCTATAAATCATCTTACCTTGTCTCTGTCATCCTTGATTCTTCATTTTCAGCATTCTTTAATTTCTCGTCTTCTGGTTTCTGCAGATACTTTTTCTTTTTGTTCTCTTTTTTTTGCCCCAGTTGGAGTTGGCTCGTGAACTTCTAAAGTTTTTCTTTTAAATACTTTGCATCTGATGGGAATATACATATCTTTGGGTCTTCGTGCTCCTTCAGCTTTATTTGCGCTTCATCATCTTCTTTTCCTCACAACGGCAAGTACAATCCAAAAATAAAAGTCCACCTAGTATACTGGAAATGTCGCAGGTAGGCAATTAAAACATGAAATGAAATTCTAACTGGTTTTTTAATTTTTCCTATGACTATCATATAGAGCTGTCGCCAAATTCGTCTTTACAGAGCTTAGCTTTTTGTATTTGACTGAGCCTTCCTCCTCACAAATAATGAAAAAAGAGGAAGAAGACAGAAAGAACCTACCTCCACACTTACATACTTTCACTTGGTACAAAATATGCCAAAATTGCCTCCAATGATATCGAGAGGATTGAACATTATCACAAAAACTCGTCCCTTTTCTTCAGTGCACCACAGTTGAAGGGAGGTCACTATACCAGATATGACTATTCCCTATATTTCATTACAACAAACAATATAGTTAGACTTTAATAGATTCAATGGCTGAAATTATTATACTGTAACTCATACTCACGCTGTATATTGTGGACGAGAGATTAATTTTTAAACCAATGCTCCAAGCATCTCGTTTATGTTCAACGGTAACTGTTTATATGGATGATTGTACAGCTCCAACTAAATTCATCCATGTTGTCAAAGAAAGCTGTGCTAGATATCATTTTAATTTATATGCCTGCATATTTTAGATCATACATTGTATTTTTAAATATCATCTGTTTGATTGCAGAAGTAGAAAATTTATGGAAAATTAGGTTGGTTATGAAGTGATTCTTTCGATTGAATGGTGATATCTGTAGAAGCTCAGTTCAGTCCTATTTCGTTTGAATTATATGGAAACTGAAATAGTTAGACAAATTGATTTTAATCACTTCTACTATTAGTGTGATGATTTGTAATCACTAGAAAACTGATTGTTTGTCAAGTTGCTATCTAGTTGCTTTTAAGACTAAAAAGCTACTCAAAAAGAGTTTCCTTGGGAAGTTCTTTTACAAAAATATACGTGAAAGCTAACCAAACAGGCCCTTGGTCATTTCAGTTCTTAATGTCGAGTTAATTCTTGTTTAATCCAAGATAATTGTTTAACCATCTGCTTTCTAGATAATAATAGCATAAAAACTTTTTGTTTTTTCTTGTACCCTTTTAAAGAGTGATGAGTGCTCCACACATGATATTTATGCCATTTAATTCATTATTTGTTACAATTGAGAAAGTTTTAGAGTGTTGTTATGTGTGTTTTGATGTTGTGATATAGGTTGGTGAGATTGAAGAAAATAAGAAAAAGTTGACAAATTTGGAGAAATGGCTAAATTGTAAGGTATCCAAATTTTGGGGACTAAAGTGCAAATACTTAAAAGTTGTGCTGAACCTCACGATGAAGATTTGAGAGTGTTCGGAGTCAATTGGCTGAGGAAAGATGTCAAATGGATCAAATTTAGTCAAAATATGATCACAAATCAATTTCCAACCGAAAAGTTATGTTCCGAAGTTTTAGTCTCATATTGAGACCCATTTTTGGCACAGAAAATGATCAAATTGGAGAATTATTTCTGAAGCAAAGTTGTACCCCTTTGAGTTAACTTTTCAACACATCTTGAATCATTTCAATCGGATATAAGGATAAAATGTTACGATACAAATACTGAAAGATGCACAGTGCAGTTTTCAGCGCTGTGTTTGGGCGCCGCAGCACCACTGATTCTGAAATTCAACAGAATACACGGCGCTGCAGGGCCTGGTGTGGGAAATCTACTTTGATATTTTTGGAATCTTTTCTTGGCCCAATTCAACCCTAATTCGTCCATAAACTCTAAAACACTTTAAATACAAGTGAGAAGATCTAATTTTAGAGGGGCTCTTGTGGAAAAAAGATGGCTTAGAAGACAACACAAAGGAAAATTGATCTAGAGCTTAAACGACAAGAAATTGGAGGAGGATTCAAGTGGCAAAATAGTTTTTCTTATTCTTTTCTTCTCTATGTTTTTTAATTCAGATTTTATTATGTTGTCTTTACGAGTTATGAACTAATTTTCATATCTAGGGTTTGATGTAGCCAAACTTGATATTATGATTTGATTTTGTCATAATTATTCTATTTGATTTTTCATATATGTTTGATTGTGTCATGAAATTAATGTCTTCAATTAATTGGCTACTAATTGAATGAATAGATGCCAATCAATTCCAGCATTCGAGAGAGGGGAATTTAGGCGCGATCATATGATTGACACAACATAGATTTTTTGGGTTTCGAGAGAAAGTATATGATCTATGAAGCTTACTCCATAAAAGAATCATGAACTTGATAAATCTTTGATTTTAATTCGGAATAGAGATATTAGAATTGAA